TTCTTCAGTTGTTGATCATGGCAGCCACCATTGGTAGAGCATGTTGTCTTTGGCAAGCACATGGTATCCCTGGACTGTCTACAGGTGAAGAAGCTGAGGCACAGAGAAGATTTGGTCTCATACTGATATTATGTAGCACAAGAATTTAAAGGCTTGGATTAGTTATTTAAGGCACCATACCTCAATTTTCCCATCTGTAAAAGGATCACGTTCAAAGTTATTTCAGGACAAAATGCAATTTAAGTGAGGTAAGGCATGAGAAGTGCATCCATACTCCATAGTAGATGTTATGCTATTATTACCTGGGACTTGAGCCTATGGCAAATGCTTGTTATATATTGGTTTAAAGTTATTTTCCCAGTTACACAGTAAGAATTCAAAGCCTGAATCTTTCTATCAGACCTGAAAACCTTGACAGTATACCATGTAACCAAATTGGAACAGAGGTCATGTAACCATGACAATGAGGTGGACATTCAGGATGTCTGCACTGGGCAGGGAGGACAGAGGTTAAGGGTTGCACACCCCAGTTCATTGTGTTGGTATTGCTGCTCATTGGGAACCCTCAGGTTCAATCCATGCATCCAGGAACTGGAAATAGATATGATTCCTGGGCTCCATGCCAGTGCAGGAAGCTTGAATTACAGAGAAATGTAAGTTGTTTTTTTTAACCTGAGAAAGGGACAGGGGAGGTAATCCTGACAGTCATTGCAAACCCTGGTCATAACATTAGTATAATAATAATAATGATTGGCATATCCCAAGCACTGCTGTGCATGTACTGCTTAGCTCATTGTGTCCCCTTGACAACCTGTGAGGAAGACTTCTCTATGGCCATTTTGCAGGTGAGGAAACTGAAGCTCCAGGTAGCAACTTGTATGAGGGCAGGGAATGGAATTACAGGAAGACCCCAAGTACACGACATTCCCACTAAGCAAATCCTGCCTCTTGGTCCTCCAGTACCACAAGAGGTAGCATCACTCCAGTCAAGACAAAGGAGAAGGAAAGAACAAAGCATAAAGAAATCAGAACTTTGGTATAAATTGAAATAGCATCAGGGTAGAAGACACAGCTGAACCCTAGCTCTGCTCTGACCAATAACTGGCTCTGTGACCCCAGGCTGGAGGCTCCTGACCATCTCACCATCTGTGAAATGAGAAGTCAGTTCCAGCACCAACATTCTTTGGCCCTCAAACCATTTATGGAATAAGCCTTTTTATTATTTTATTTTTGAATTAGCATACATTAATAGCATAGGAGATTTCATTATGATAATTTGGACAAGACTTGACTTCAGGAAAAGATTACATCCTTGAAGAGGGCTTTCCCTGCACGTACTGCTGCTTCTTTATTTTTATTTGCATATATAATTGTACAAAGGTGATTTCATTCTGGTATTTCCATACATATATATAATGTACTTTGATTATTTTCACCCCTTCCATTTCTATGCTGTAAAAGACAAAACATGTTTTTATTTTTTCTCTCTCTGTTTTTGAATCAGCCTAGCTGCTTGGTTGAGGCAAGAGAATCACTTGAGCTCCCAAGTTCAAGACTAGTCTGGGCAAAATAGTGGGACCTTCTCACACACCACCACCCCCATACACACACACATACACACCAATCTCAGGAAAAAAACGAGGAAAAGGGTAAATGGAAAACCATGCCTGTATCAATAAGAAGTGAGTTCAGGGTTTTTGGAGAGCAGTTGGGCAGTATATCTAAAGCTTAAAACATTCCAGAAATTCTGCCTCTAGAACTGGATCCTGGAACTCAGGTTTGCAGATATATGTATTGTAGAATGTTCCCTGGCCTTTTGTGTACAACATAAAGGAGGCAACCTGAGTTTCCCTCAATAGAGGGCTGGATACATGAATTATGGAGAAGAAGCAGCAGTTGAAATTGACCTAGCACTGTCTTAGGGAGTGTAGAAGGACGTGTTCCATGGTGTTGTTGAGGGAAAGAAGCAAGTTCTGGGCACAGTACAGTGATCCTTGTTTATAAAGAAAAAAGGATGGATGGTGGTTATAAATACAGGGAAAAAGCTTAGGAAGCGGAGAGACCAAATTGTTTATGTTGGTTTTTTTCTTCAAGTTTCCTTCAGTGGATGTGAAGAGGGTTTCATTTCCTTGTATACACTGGGTTAATTTTTTACCTGTGTTTTTCACTTTAAATGTTTCCCATTCAGAAAACCCTTGGCCTTAAAAATGCTTAACAGAGAAAAATACATAGTATTCGTGTAATGCAGAGATGTAGGACTTTTCTTAAATGCACACACACACACATGCAAAGCAGATGGGCATTTTAGGGTGATTTTCGTCAGCACTGGTAATAGTGGGAGATAAACGGTTTGCCTCAAGTCATTTCAGTTACCTAGGAAATGTACTGGGATGGAACAATCATTTCTCAATAGGGACGTTCTTTTTACTGTGTTTGCTGGCAAGTCATGGGCCAAGTATCCCTGCTCTTTGAGAGATGGCTCAGTTAACAATATTGTTTCTGTGAAAGATGACCACTACTAGCAAATGAGACAGTGCAACTCTGGACAGTAGGCTCTGCTTGCTTATTAATGAAAAAGTTTGTGTGTTCATAGCCAAGAGCTGTCATTTGAACATGTTTTGCTAGACCTAAGCTTGTGCAGGAAATATAAACCCTCATACACCCAGAAAAACACATTTGTGGTGTTTCTTCACTCACTCTGTTTCCTGTGTAAATCATCAACAAGGGGCTCCAGCCCTTTCAGTTTGAACCAAAAGAACCCAGTGTAGTTTCAGATGCTGCTATGCCAGACAGCCTCCATTTCATCTTGCTGATCCAAAAGAAAGTCATCTGTAGGTGTATAGATTACCTGTCCGTGAGGATAAATTCAGACCCAAAGACCTCATTGGTGTGAAGCTTCATGATTTCTGCATTGCATCCACTTTGTGCACCTTCATTTTCAATAAACTTCATTGCCACAGACATGAGCACAAAAACACATCTCCATTAAGCACCTTTCTTTGGAATTTGTATTCAGTATCAAGCAGATAGAAGAATGTCAACACTCAACTGTAAAGAGAAGCAACAGCAATGTTTAGAGTCTGTTTCCCACTCCCTGGTACAGGCATCCAAACTCTAAGGAGAGGTGGGTTTCAAAATGTCCCAGGAAACCTGCCTGAAGGCTGAAGTCTTTGCAGAAGTCTTCCTTCCTAAGAAGGGACTAAGGTCTTCTCCCTGAAGAATCTACTTCCTTCCATCCCTGCCTTAGAGGTCCCTGGCTCCCTCACACTTGTTAGGTTGAAACCTGAGCTCAGGAACAACACCCCCTCTTCACCTGTCCCTCTTTTACTGTTCCACCTGAACAATGAAACCCCAATCAACTTTATAAATCTTCCCAGAGGACTGGGATAAGTTGTTCTACTTTATCTCACCCCGATCACCACTACAACATCTAATCTCCTGTCTACTCCTGAGATCTGTCGTGATTTTCCTCGCTGCCACCATATTGGTTCTGAAGACCATTGTCTTCCACTTGGATTATCACGCAGTGTCTGAACTTGTCTCCCCACTCCCACCCTTTGCCCCCATGTCTTTTCTTCACACACAGCCAGTGCAGTCTTATAAAAATTTAACCTGATCTTCTCATCTCTTGCTTAAAATCCTCATACCACCCATACAAAATCCTTAGGTCTCCTGGGCCCACATAATCCAACCCATAATCCAACATTCTGCAGCAATGCCCTAACCTCCTGTGTCTTCTTACAGGTTCTAAAAGGCACCCAAGCCACTTTCACCTCTGCCCTCTGCTCATGCCACTCTGCTAGAATGTCCTCTTCCCTTCTGTCTTGGGAGCTCTCATCCATCTCAGGGTGTCCTAGACATGGCCCTTCTGAATTTCTTGTGCCTGCCAAGAAGGTTAGGTCCTCAGTGTACTCCCCAGTGACACCTTTTTTTTTTTGTCTGCAGAGCACTTTGTACAGTTGTGATTAGTCAGATGTTTCTTCCACTAGTCTTTAAATTTAGTTTGCAGCCCACTTTATCCTCAGGGCCTGATGCCAGATGCCTAGCATATTGTTGGTACCCAAGTGATAAAATGGACAAGTGGAGTCTATCTCCTCAGCTCTGTGGTTAGTGTTACTGTAGTGTTTTGTTCTCTATACTACAAAGACATCTAACACCTCAATAAAAGACTGTCCTGAGTCACACGGCTGCCAGCACCCACCAGAGCCCCCTCGACAACTAGTGGTGCAGATGCTAACTGTCCCGTGATGCAGGAATGAAGTCCTCCTGGCCCCTGGGAGGTGCTGGAAGAGGCGTGTACACCTTGCTGTGGGCTTCCTTAGATAGGACTCAAGGCACCTCCAGTTTAAGTTGGTTTCCTTGTCCATGTTACAGCCCTCCTTTAGTCAGTGAGTGAAGGTGACTTGGCCTGGTGTTGGGCCTTGCTCCAAGATGGTGAAGAATTGGACAATGGGCTGAGATAATGCACACCCAGTGACAAAATGCCTAGTGTTGGTAACTGCCCGTGCTTGTTCTCCCTTCTGGCAGCTCTCAGCCCATGCACTGTCTACCATCCACAGAGGGCAGCCATGGCAGGCAGTAAATGCCCAAGTTCATCATTAGAGAGCAGGTCAGGCCTGGGATCACTCTAAGTGGACTTGCAATTTTCTTTCCTTGATGAGTACCAGCCTGGGACCAAATTACAGACACAGAAGTTGTTTTGCCCCACATGGTGTTTTAAGACTCTTAATTAGTGCTAATATTTGAAACACAAGATTGTCATGGATACTCTTGAATTTCTGTGTCCTCCTGGACCTTTCTTATTTGCCATGGCCCCTGCCCTGCCTGCTTTGTTTCCTTATCTCACCCCCTGGCTTTGGTGGGCATGAGTACCCCTATTTTTAAGTCATGTGTGCTCAAGAGAGTTGTCAATGACACTCTGAATAATTACATTTTTCTCTGTTTCTGCTGCTTTCTCTTCATTTCCTCCTTTGTTTTCCACTGCCTCTGCCATTTCACAGATCCTGGGACTACTGGTGTGGACACTTATTGCTGGAACTGAGTACTTCCGGGTCCCTGCCTTTGGCTGGGTCATGTTTGTAGCCGTCTTTTACTGGGTCCTCACTGTCTTCTTCCTCATCATCTACATCACCACGACCTACACCAGGATTCCCCAGGTGCCCTGGACAACAGTGGTAAGGAAGCCCTGGGAGAAGTCTGGGAGGCGCCCCAGCCCAGACCCTGTGCCATGGGGTGACATGGCCTCTTGTCAATTTGGGATCATTGAGGGGGGCAGGGAGGAGGCCAAGCCTGGAAAGGCTGGTACAGCAGATAGTCTCCTCATTATCTGACTGCCTCTCAAGCGTCTCACACCTGAGTGTGAAACTGGGCACATTAGAAGGTCCTGGAATTCCTTTCAGGCCCAATAGTAAACCAGTTCTCAAAAATCTTAATAAGAAAAGCTGTGTTCCCTTACATAGATACTTTCTTTATTAGCTCCCTCAAACAGTGCCACCTGGAAACAGATATGTCAGGGGACCAATTCCTGCAGGTCTTCCTTCCTTCAAACCTCTTCTTAACCCTAGGCACATCACAGCTCTTTGATGTTAGGGTATACTGTGTGTAAATACTGAAAATGGAAGGAGAAAATTGGTATTTAAAACAAATAGGTAGGGCTAGGTGGGGCTGGGTTCCATCCCAGTACTATCTCATACTCTCTCTCTCTCTCTCTCTCTCTCTCTCTTTCTCTCTTTCTCTCCCACTCTCTCTCTCTCTCTCTCACACACACACACACACACACTCTCTCTCTCTCTCACACATACACACACACTCTCTCACACACACACACACTCTCTCACACTCTCTCTCTCTCTCACACACACACACACACACCCCAAATAGGTGTCCTCCCATTTGAAAGCAAGTGTAGTCAAGGGTGATTAGATTTTGTCCTGGCTCCAGGCACCTTACTGCAAACAGGCTAAATGAAGGTGAAGGCACGAGTTGGGGAAACAAAGAAGGGAGGTATGCAGCTACAGTGGCCCATGCCATTGCTGAGTGAGTGTGTACATGGGGATGGAAGTTGCCACCTCAGCCTGGGACAGCTGGGATCTCTGTAGAGAGGAAGTGATGTTTAGCTTTATCCTGAAGATGAACATGTGTGTTAAGTGGATTCACAGAGATAGAAGATGAGGGCTGCTTTGCCTTGGAGCATGGGCAGTCTGCATAGGGAATTTGAAATGGCCATATGATTTTTAAAAACCCAAGGAGTACCATGTATAAAACAGAGCTCTGCAGTAGTGTTTGCACAAGGCCCTGGTTTCCATCCCCAGCACCACACACACTCACACAAAGAAATAAAACAAGGCCCTGGTTTCCATCCCCAGCACCACACACACTCACACAAAGAAATAAAACATACTTCATATTGAAATGTCAAAAAAAAAAAAAAAAAAAAAAAACAGAGCTCTGAAGTGGTACTTACTTTTGGATTGGTTTGTTTTCAATCAGTAAATCAGAAAAACATCCACTTCCAAATTAACTGATTTGAAAGACAACTTGCTTAGGGGTTGTAGTTTCAGGTGAAGTGGGCAAGCATTCACACAGTGCTGTCATTGCTGAGTGTACCCAGCTTTGTTCTTTCTGCATTGCCCCATAAGAAACAAGATTGACTGACTCACCTGTTTCCCCATATCCAAAGGTGAAGTTCTCCATTAGAGTTTTCAAGAATGTGTTGTATGTTCTGAAAGTCACTCCAAATTAGGTGCCCATAACTATCCAGGGCAACAGAAGCAGCCTTGCTGGAATCAATGTCCTGCTTCCCAGTGGGCACTGGGAAGGACAGACATTTAATGTTGGCTTTAAACACATCTGGCACCTTGCAGTAATAGTAACAATGGGAACACAGGGTGAGGAAGCAGTCAGAGTGAACTGTGGTGTTTAAGGAGTGATGAGTAGTAGGAAGTTGAATCTTAAAGTCGGTCTGGGAGACAGTGGCTCCGAACCTGGAAGAAGAGGAACCAGACAGTAACGGGAGCACAGAACATGCATGAGTGAACTGCACCTTTTGTTTCCACTTTGGCTTGGTACTCGATTTCTAGTTAAGTTGTCTAGCTCAAAGCCTGGCAGACTTCCTCTATAAAGGACTACAAGGTAAGTGGTGTTGTCTTCTTGAGCCACACTGTCTCTGTCGCTAGTCAACTCTTGTAAGTGAATGAGCATGACTGTGTTCTAGTAAAACTTTATTTACAAAAACTAGTGGCGGGCCATAGTTCTTGCACAGTCTCTTCATCCAGCCTAAAGCTCCTTCCTTGGTTCATTCCATCAAATTTTTTAAAATATTGCCTTTAATGGTACCTTTCAAAAAAGTTAACACTACCTCCCTGGCTTTAAATTATTTGATTTACATTTTCGTATTTATCCACATATTATGTCCCATTTTAGAGACAAGTAAACTGAGGTTTGGAGTCTTGTGACTGCACAGAGTCACATGGTGGGGGAGTGAGGGGGATCTGTGTCTCTTCATTTCTACCCAGAGATTTTTCCTGACCTCCCATTCCGGGTGCTCCTCCGACCAAAGGTCAAGAGACTGGGACCTTTAGTGCCTTCAGAACTGTGTCATCACTCATCTTCAGCAAGGCCATCAGCTTCCCATCAGGTGTGACCCATTCATGTGGGAGGAACCAGACAGGTCATGCAAGTGAAAATCTCAGCCTTCTGCTGAGTTCTTGTTACCCCAGCATACTTTCTTAGCATCTTAAACAATTTGAGAGGGTTTTTTGTTGTTGTTTTTCAGTCCTAGGGATTAAAACCAGCTCTCATGAGCGCTGAGCAAGCACTGTACCACTGACCCATGTCCCCAACCTGAGAATATCCTTCACATCATAAAAAAATATTCAGGAGATATGCTTCCATGATTGCTAAATTGTTTTTTTTTCCTCTAAGAATACAGAAATCTGTGAACTCTCCCAATTATAAAATATTTACAGCCAGCCAGCCAGCCAGGCCCAGTGACTTACACCTGTAATGCTAGCTATTTGAGAGACTGAGATCTGGAGAATTGAGGTTCAAGGCCAACTCAAGCAAATAGTTCATGAGAGCCCATCTCCAAAATAACCAGAGCAAAATGGACTGGAGGCATGGCTCATGTAATAGAGTACCTGCTTTGCAAGCATGAATCCCTGAGTTTAAACCCCAATCGCACCAAAATAAAAACAGTCAAATATATGAAACCTCATTTTCTGCTGGCAGAAGCTGCAGGGCAAGCATGCCTGACCTGTAGTTGGGCTTTTATTTATGATGCCTATCAAAGCACTTGTGAGTTGGGTGAGCTGTGCTACCTGATGATCCAGAGTGGGGACTAGAAAAGGTTCCCATCTGCAAACACTGAAGGCTTACACTAAACTTCTGAATTCCTATTGCCCAGCAGAATCCCCCACAGAACGGTGCGGGACTTGGTGTTGGCCCTTACTGTCATGTCCCAGCTGTAATCAGGGGCGTGGTAAGCATGAAGCCTGGTCTTCATTGACATAGCACATGGGCTCCTGGAGCCGGATGGGCCACCTTAACTCTGGCTACACAAGCCTGTACCCCGGACCAGTCACACCAGTGGACTCTTGGTAGAAATGCAGCCGTGGGTCCCACTCCACTGACTGAGTCAGATGCTGCTGAGGGCATGGGCATCTCTATTGTGACAAGCACTCCAGATTGTTCCTAGGTCCCTAACACATGGAAACACTATTTTAAAGATAATTATAGTCAACACTCCCCAAGTCCAAACATTTAGGCCAGATGTGAATTAAGTTGTTTTTTTCTTTTCAAATTTTAGAAAGATAATTAGGTAATTTGATGCATTTACTACAGTGTGTGACATGGACCTGTGTGTGTCGGGAGCAGGATTCAGGGACATGAATGTTTCTGTAAGACACATGAATTAGGCCTGTTAGAGCAGCTCAAGTGGTAGAGACCTGCCTAGCAAGCATGAAGCCCTGAGTTCAAACCCCAGTCCCACCAAAGAAAAAAAGAGAGAGCAAGAGAACGCATGAGTTTTCCTGCTTAAGGGACAACAAAGACCACACCACCCCTATGTCAGATCAAGTCAGTTTTTGCTGCTGAATGACTTGAATTTGCTTTTGTTTCTCAGACATTTAGGGAATCTAAAGCTGCAGAGAAGGGACTGGTAGTCCACCCAGGAACTTGCTAGGAGACTACTCCTGGGACACCAAAAAAAGCAGTTATACTACCTCGCTCCTTGACCAGCAAGGCCAAGCTTTGCACAGGACTCGTGTCTTAGTAGTCCACTCCCGTCTGTGTCTGGACAGGTGCAGACACCTACATCTGCCCTTCATATTCTGCAAGAGTGGCTGCTGTTTCCCAGGAGCACCTCTGAGCTCCTGGGCTACGGCTGTCCTAATACCATTGCTCAAAGAGGCCTGCGTGGGTTTTATGGCAAATCAGACTTGAGCTAAAAGTTCAAGGCAATAAAATTTGCCCTCGTCTTGGCACTGAGCACCAGAGCCTACAGAGAGCCTTTCCTGAAAATCCTCCAAAAGACCTTCCACAAATGATGGTGCCCAAACTGAGTGCAGGGCTTAGGAGCAAGGGCTGAGGCCCACAGTGCGCCCCATCCTGTTGGCTCCATCTCCAGCCAATCTACCTTAGCCTGCGAGCTAAGTCCCTGCTGCTACTGTGGGACTGTGACATGACCAGGATCCACTGAGACTTCCTGTCCTGTTAACCTGTCCATTCCAGGGACTTAGTCTGGAGGGCGCAGTCGAGTTCTAAATGAGTGCCTGTAACTGGCCTCTCCTTGATATAGTCATTACACAGGGATGAGAAAGTAAATGGCACAAGTAGTGCACATCACAATTTCACAGCTCTTTAACAGCACTGACTTCTTCTGTAAGCCACCATGTTGAAGTTGCATATGTTACTTGTGCTTGCAGTCTACTAGCCTAGCCATGGTCACATGACCACACCTTCCAGGAAAAGCTGAAATGTAGGATCTTTATTCTGTGCTCAGGTAGAAACTGCTACTATATGAGAAGAGAGAGCAGGTGGCAAAAGACATCTAGCAGCTCTGCCACAGTGGAAACAGCTGAAAGAGGTGACTCGTCCACAGCCACACAGCCCATGAGCAACGAGCTGGGGATGGAAGTCTGCATTCAAGTCTCTTTGCTCATCCATCTCCTATATCCTGTGGCCTTTCTCCTTGTTGCTTGCCACATTCTCCCTCCTTTATTTTCGCCTTCAGTTGTGGATTTAAAACACAGCTCTTGCTCATGTGGCTGAGAATCGTCATGGTGGCTGAGAATCGTCATGCATGAAAATCCCTGCAGATCACACTTGGAATGGCACTTGGAGATCCTCTAGCAGCTGGCTGTGGGCAAAGAGGGGGTTTTGTTATAGCATCAGCCTGGAGCTTCTCAGCCTTTGCCTAGACAATATATTTTCCACAATAGGGATGTCTCTTGTCTTAACACTTGGTGATGAAGGCTAGAGTAAGAAAGGCACATGGAGGGTGAACAGGATGCCCCTATTGCCCTGAAGACGGACTCTGATGGAAAAGATGGGTGTGCACAAGGCTAATTAGAACATTAAGCAGAGTGACATCTTATAAACGTTAAAAGACTGGTGAAGTTCTAGGGGAAGAAGGACCTGTCCTCATAACTGCTCACATAGACTTGTGGAAGTTTGAGAACTCAAACTCTGTCTTCCTGTAAGTTCCTGAGGACCTGGTGTCAGACACCAGCCTGACAGTCCTATGTTCTTAGCTGTCTACATAGACTCAGCAAAGGCTGGAGCATGCAGTCTCCCTCATGTCAATGTTCTTCTCCAGTCATAGAGTTTCCAGTTGGGCCCATGCCATCCCCTGAGTCTTACCCTTGAGATAAGAACATTCTCTCCTGGCCTACATGGGGAGCAGAAACACCCCAGAGATGGCCAGCCAACATGACAAAAGGCTTGGTTCCTATTACCTGAGGCTGTCATGCCAGCTGTGGCTGCTTGAGCTTGTTCCATGAGAGAGGAGCAACTTTCTTAAGTCACTGGTTGTATTACTACAGTCAAATCCATGACCTGAAATTCCTCTTAGTGTTAGGAGAGTGGCCAGTGAGCTTCCTCTGAATGCCTTTTGTTGAGGAGTGGCAGGAAGCAGTTTCAAGGTTGGATGTGACCTTTGAATCAGTAGTGTTTGGTATCTCCATGGGCATCCACTACCCTCCATCGTGTGGGCAGCAGTAGTGGGTTGGCCGCCCCAAGGGCGGTCAGTTACCTCTTGGGGCAGCTAGGACAGCTGTTTCAAAAGTAGTGTCTGGCTGGTTGATTAAAGGAAGTAAGTTGAACTCCCAGTGTAAAAGGTGAGAAATGGAAGCTGGTCTCTTGTTCCTCAGAGGTGACTATGTCTAGCCATTCCTACATTTCTCAGAAAGTGGCAAGGCCTTCAGCTGGGAAACAGCTAATGTATGTAACTCTATGTTCTAAGAGGGGATGTGAAAAAAAGCTAGGTTTCCATTTTAAGAACATACAGTTGTGATCTTATACCCAAACCAGGAAAGACATATAGCCAGCAAATGAAAGGAGCCATCCAGAAGGACCAGGGCTTCTGAGGGACACATTTCTAAGGGCAGGTGGCATCAAAGGCTGGGACCTGGCCCTGTCTTAAGGACCCATTGCCTTAACCCAGGGCCGGCTGAGCAGTGTGAGGCAGATGGGCATGGTGTGCTCCTCCTCTCAGAGGGCTGGGCCCATATCTGGGAAATGAGGAAACTTTTCTTTGCAAAAAAGGAAGGTTGCTTCCTTTCTGCTCCCTAGCCATTCCTTTGTCTCTGAATTACCGGGGTGGGGAGGGGTGGTGAAGAGGGGGTGGTGCTCCCTGAGAGTCACCCTCTTCCTCCCTGTGTTGCTGTCGGTTTAAACCCTCCCCACCCAATCCCACACACAATTCAAACAAGGACCAACCTTTGCACATTTCAGAGCACGTTCCCTAGAGTTAAACATAACTGAAAACCAGTTCCTACTTGAATTTACATGGCTATTCTCTAAGAATAGGAAAAAATGGATGAAATTGTTTCCTGAAGGGCTGTGATGATACCTGTAGCCTCCTTTTTAGTTCTAAGAACTTGGCGCTTGCACAGACCAGCTCACTTGTGTCCCCCTAGCTTAAAGCCAGTGGCAAGAACAGCCGGGTGTGCCAGGGGACAGTCTCCCAGTGCTGCAGGGACGTATGTCCAAGGGCTGTGACTGGGGCCTTTGGATGAGGGTGACCTCGCTGTGCAGCCCCTCCTGCTGCCTCCTCCCTCTGTCACTGTCACTGCAGTTTGGAGGGACAGGATCAAGAGCCAGTTGAGGAAGAGTGGTGGCAGGGGGTGCAGCATGCAATCTGGGAACTTGGAGGGCAGAGGGCGTCTGACACCTGAGCTGGTATGAAACCCTCTCTTGCTCACTGATTGTTCTGCCCTTCCCCAGCTGTGCCCTTGGGCCCCTCACCACACTCTGGTGTGTTCTGGCCAAGTGTGGTCCTCCCCTCCCTCAGCACTGCCCATCTCTCTTCACAGGGCCTGTGCTTTAACGGCAGTGCCTTCATCTTGTACCTCTCAGCCGCAGTGGTAGATGCGTCTTCTGTCTCCCCGGAGAAGGACAGCCACAACTTCAACAGCTGGGCGGCCTCCTCGGTGAGTGAGCCCTTCACCTCCCTCCCCACGAGCAAGGAGAACAAGGTGATCTGCAGGAAAAACTGCCTCTTAGAATAGTGACAGCAGGGCGATTGGCTGGTTGGTTTGAAAACATCAAAAACTGTTGGGACCTCCAACTCTGTGTATGAGAGCCAGAGGAAATGACCAGAGCATTCCTGTCATTCCCAGGAACCCCACTGCCTAGAGCTTCCTAAATTGGAGGAGGTTGTGGGAAGTGACCTAATTCCATTTGACTTCTTAAAGAGTGGAAGTGTTTGTTTATGCATTGAGAATGCCTAGAAAAATAGGTTCCTTCCGGAGCCTGGGATCACGAAATGAGGGGAAAGAGTGAGGAACTGTGACTTTTTACTTGATGAACTGTTTTTTAAAATCATAACCATGTATTCTTTTTCTATTTTGAAAAAAAAAATTGGGAACTATAGGCCAGGTATGGTGATATGCATCTATATTCCCAGCACTTGTGAGGCAGAGGCAGGTGGATTGAGAGTTTGAGGCCAGCCTGGACTACACAGTGAGACCCTGTCTCAAAAAAAGAAAAAAAATTGCTCTGCAATTAACCTTACACTATCCCATCCCCCAAAGAAGCCTATGGGGGAGAGGGCATTTAGATAGGAATGCCAGAATGGTATTTCTGGAAACTTGGTTACCTAGAGGTTCACTGTTACTATTTACTTTTCTCTGTACTTGAAAACCTATTTAAACAGAGATGTGGGCACATAGCACTGAAACTCACACGCTTTGGTAAGATTGGGCTCACACAGCAAGAATGAGCTAGAACAGATGGCAGATGCCCCTACTCAAAATGGGCCTTCACTTTCCTACCCCGAGTGTGCTGCCGCTCTAGCCCTCTCAGCCCACTTCTGTGAGCTGACTGTCCGTCTGAGGTTGGCCCCTAATCTACATTTGTCACTAAATCAGAAGTGATACAGCTTTCTCAGATGCATGGCCACCATATTCACTCCCAAGTAAACTCCCTGAGGCTATTTGAATAAAACTATGGGCTTTCCAAATCTGTTCCAAAAAATAAAAACAGCATGGCCAGAAATCATTTGGAAAGGAAGGTAATTGAACCAATAAAGTAATTTTATGTGAAAAGGCCTACGCCTAGGCAGTATTGTGAGCACAGGATTCTGTGGGGGAGATAACTCTTGCTAAGTAGGGTGCGTCCTGACCCTTTTCTCTTTGTGCTTTGTTTTCTGCAGTTCTTTGCCTTCCTGGTCACCATCTGCTACGCTGGAAACACGTATTTCAGTTTTATAGCATGGAGGTCCAGGACTGTACAGTGATTTACCATTTTGATAATTAAAAGAAAAACCAGGAAGAATCTCACTGTAAAAACAGCTGTAGGTATAATGTATATTTCCACAGAATTGTATTTATGCTACGCTGGAACACGTATTTCAGTTTTATAGCATGGAGGTCCAGGACTGTACAGTGATTTACCATTTTGATAATTAAAAGAAAAACCAGGAAGAATCTCACTGTAAAAACAGCTGTAGGTATAATGTATATTTCCACAGAATTGTATTTAACTAATGTTTTTATATAGTTAGTTAAATTTGCTGGCAGTGGTTTGTTACATTGAACTGGATACTTATTTGCAAAGTGCTATAGATTATAATGAACTCTTAAGTATCTTGTTGGTGTAATCATAGACCCTATTTTCTTAGACAGTCTATAAACAATGCTAATATTAAGAATTTGTCAGGTTTGTAAACCTAATTTTTAAATGCCAGATTCTTTTGTGATTAAATATTGCAAAATCCCAGCTGATGTTGTGTCCATTGAGAAAGGAGACCGCCATCTGTGGGAAAACTCTAACCCTCCCAGGACTGCCCAGGTGCCATATTGTCAGGAGACACTTGCCCTCAATCAGGGCAGGATGGCAGGAGAGATTCATCTCCTCAGATCTTTGGATCTCAGCATCCCCAACTCTCAACGTCCCCACAAGTGGGCCCAGAAAGCATCCAATGAGACATGACCTTGAGGCTGGTAATGAGGCTGGCAAATGGTGCTGCCTGGTGTTTTTCCTATGACATATTAAAGTACAGAAAGAGCCATTGAGAGGACAAATAATGTGCATATGCCTTAAATCATCTTGCCAACCACAGTGACTGTGTGCATCATATTTTATGGAAATTTCTGGACCCAAAGTTCTCACCAGTGTTATCAGATGGGAAGAATGCAAATCAGCAAAGCAGATGTGCACTAGATGCAGTGGTTTTAGTCAGGACAGTTCTTGCTGGCACAGCAGGTATCCTGGGTGATTTGTTGGAAGAAAAAGAAAACAGACACACACAGAAATGTTAGAGTTGCTGACATGAACAGAGTTGAGCCATGGCTCTGTCATTGATCTCCCGTTGACTCCCAAGCCTTTCGCAGCCTCTTATTGTTTCCTTCTCTTGTGTGTCCCTTGAGTTGGTCCTCCTGTTTATCTGGTTCTCCATACTCCATACTCCTACTCCATACTCTGTTTGCCCCTATGTGATAGAATTGAGATTTCTCTGGAAATCTCACTGCAGACCTTTGAAAGTATGGTGAAGAATGTTCTTGGGGCGTGACGTGGAGGCTCCAAGCATGAAGCATAGGAGTCGGGGAGGCATACTGGCCCACTCTTAGCAACAGTTAAAAGCCTTGGAAGGTCAGCCTTTCTTGTTGCAGCCTGCAGATCGGTGCTGTGGTCTTTGGGGGCTGACTCCATGTCATTCCCTGGGTCAGTCTGAACTTGCTGGTTTTGCAAAAACAGCTGAAGTGACCAGTTGGTTGTGTGCTCTGCTTCTCTGTCCATGGCTCCTTCTGTATTCACTGAGCATTGGCACCCTTCACATGCCCTGTGGGGTTTCTAAAGTACTTTATGTTGCGATAGGCTCCATAAAAGGCAGACAAACAGTAACCTACAGAGGTCTGTTTCTGTAAATAGTAAAAAGGAGGTCTGCTTTTATGTACTGTGGGAGAATGTGTCATTTCTGCAGCCATGGCCATTATATAGGAGGGAACTTCTGGGGTAAAAAGTGCCATAAGCTATACTTTTAGATGTTCTCCAAACAGACATCTGAACAGTTTTAGGTCTTTCTTATTTGGTACCACTGAAGAGATGTTCCAAGGCCCAGGGTCAGGTACATCCATGGAGGGGCTTGCTGTCTTGTCTTTATTTGTGGTTTTTCAGGAGCAAGACTCCGTGCTGTCCTGATTGTTCACCAAACAAACACAAAAAAGCATCTATTTTTAACCAAAGGGAAATTATTATTTCCTCTTATGGCAACTGAGAGACCTTGTTCACAAATAATTTTTAAGTGCGGATGGCAAAATGATTCTCCATTATTAGATGAAGCTGTTTATTTTGAACTGGGTTTGCTTTCATTGTTTAAGAAAGTAGAGGCTGTGTGCAATGCCTATAATTCCAGCTACCCGGGAGGGAGGATCAGGCAGTCAGAGGCCAGCCGAGACAAGTACAAATGTGTATGACTCTATTTGAAAAATAGCTAAAGCAAAAAAAGGGTTGGAGTGTGGCTCAAGTGGTAGAGGTCTGCCTAGCAAGTGCGAGGCCCTGAGTTCAAACCCAGTACCGCCAAAAAAAAAATTGGTTTCTGGGTGGTTGAAGAATATTATTACAGGGGAAGTGACAGCGTTACTTGAAGTTGACTCTACCACCATCTGTGCTCAACATCTGTGTTCACCTTAGCTGCACATGGCCTCAGAGACGCAGCTCGATGGGTGTTAGTTTGATGTATTTACGCACTCATGGCAAATCAATAAAATGCTCGTGGCAGTTAATCTCTCTTCATTGCTATTTCGAATTCATGCTCCCAAAAGATAAATATTTAGCAAATATTTGAAAACTACAAGAAAATCTAGAGAGAAGAATGTTCAGTAATTTACTTTCAGATTTTTAAATTGCTCGCTTCACAGGAAAATGCCTTCAGGATATTACCACACAAAAGATTTTAAATACCTAAACTATCTCTGTGTACTGCATGGGCATTTGGAAATGGCCTTACATAAATGTCCTCCTAGCAACATTCAACTGCCAAATATGAGTTGTAAGCAAAAACCTCAAAGGGGCTGGAGGAGTGGCTCAAGTGGTAGAGCTCCTGCCTAGCAGGCGTGAGGTCCTGAGTTCAAATTCCAGTATTGCAAAAAAAATAAAAACCATAATCTGCAAAGGAAGATCAACTCCCTGCCCCACGGTGAAGACAGAGAGTGGCAGTGGAGGTTTTAGAGCTCACTATTGTAAATTGGAGAGCTACATGTTTGTTATGTGCAAAAGAAGCTAGAGTCTAGGAGAAGTGTTTGACTTCAGAAACTCAGGAAGAAGAGTGGGAAGAAAGTTGACTGAGGAGACCTTCCATTTGGAAGATAGGTTTTGAGAAAACTTTCATGTCAGGAGGTTTTTTTTTTTTTTTTTTTTGCTAGAACATTCAGATAAGCCAAATTAACCTAGAACATAGCAGACCTTGTCACTACCTCCTGGCATCTTTTCTCCCTCTTACTGGTTGCCTATCCTAGTTTTTATTCAGTACCCATGCCACCTGCTTACAGCCCAGGTACTTGGGGGAGGCAGACTCCACATGACTCCAGGCATGGAGCAAGTTGCTCAGCCTAAGCTAATCAATATAAGACCACCCTCTGGCCACAGTGATTGGTTCAGAGATGGTCATGTGACCTATGGCTTGCTTGAGAGTTCTGGGATAGAATCATGCTGACACTGTTTAAGATACCTGCTGAATATTGAGCCTTTACTGTATGTGGGCACTGTGTGAAGGTCTTCCATCTGTTATCTCATTCAGCTCTCAGAACAATCCTATGAAGCAGATGCTAGCTTAATCCCTGCCCCCCTTTTTTTGTGGGACTGGAGTTTGAACTCAGGGCTTCAGCATTTGCAAAGCAGGCACTCTACTGCTTGAGCCATGCCTCTTTCCTCATTTTAAAGATGAGGAAACTGAGGTACAAGAAGTTGAACTGTTTGATAAAACTCATCCAGTAATTGTAGAGCATGAGTGTATTAGCTGTAGGAGTTAATGTGAAGATCATATTAAATAGCATTTAATAATTTAAAGCATCTAACCTCCAGTAGAAAACTCAACAAATGTTTTATTTTTCCATTTTGGGGGGGGGTAGTTTTTGTTTGGTTTTTTGGTGGTAGTGGTGCTGGGGTTTAAACTCAGGGTCTTCTGCTTGGTAAGCAGATATTATACCACTTGAGCATTTCAGTCATGCCCTAGCCCTTGGATTTTTATTTTCAGTTGACAATTACATATATTTTGGGGGTGCATATGTTTTGATATCGGTATAGATTGTGGGATGGTTAAGCAATGCTCACACTTTTAATAGAGCTTCTAGAAGTAACAGTTCTCTCCTTGGATGGTGACTGAGGAAATAGGTGGCTGGGAATTTGTTTGCAAATATTTTGCCACCACAAGGAGGAGCGAGTTATAGGAAGGAAGATGTCTGGGAGCATGGATCAAGTGGTAGAGCACCTGCCTAGCAAATAGGAGCCCTGGGCTCAACCTTCAGTACCACCAAAAAAAAGCTAGGTTCATAGTTGCCCCAGTCTGGAAACAAACCAAATATCTATCAAATAGTGAATGAATAAAGAGGTTGTGAGATACTATATTCACGAAATGGAATATTTCTCAGCAACGAAAAGAAACAAACTGCTGATACCCATGAACAACATAGATGAACCACCAAAATATTATGCTGAATGAAAGAAGCCAGACCAAGAATCCTAAGGTTAGATTCTGTCTATATAAAATTCTAGAGAAGAAAAAGCAAATCTTAGTGACAGGAAGTAGATCCATGGTTGCCTGGGGGTAGAGATGGAAGCTAGAGAAATACTATATGTCTTTATTGTGGTGGAGATTACATGGGTGTGAACATTTGCCAAATTTCACAAACTGTTCACTCAAAATGTGCATTTTTAGTGTAAATTTTCCTTGATGACATTTATTCTAAAAGAAAAAATTGGGATATTATGAAATGCCCCTGAGAGCCCCCACCGTCTGCCATGCCGGAGTCTGTACTAGGTGTGTAGTCTTGTGGAGAGCTGGATGGAGGGGTTTCATCCCCGTCTACCCGCTGGAGCTCAGCAAAGTGCCTGGAGCAGAGTTCGTGCCCAGTACTGCTGCAGCGAGGAGAGCGGGAGGGGGAGCACCCAGAACATTTTGCAGGATCAGCAAGTCGGGGAATGAAGACCCACAGAGAGGACAAGCCTGAGAGGGACCCAAGAAACCAGAGTAGTGAGAACCGGAGCGCCGAGGGGGCTCAGGAGCTCAGACCTGGGCCA